TAAAAGTTTAATATATTTGGAATTTATAATTTAGTTCATTTTCATTGTATTTATAATTTATTTTATTTTAAAGTGAATTTCAAATTTTAATTTGAATGAATTGATGCTCACCACCCTCGACCACTATCAACGCCTGCCACACATCATCGACAAGCTCTAACCATCATTGTTGCAGACTATTGCATGATGCATACCACTATATGCTCTGCCTCTTTCTTCTGCAATTGTGATTGGACATCACCAACTACCACTGCCATTGTCATTGCCACCATCACTGGTGACAGTTATCACCGTTACCGTTGACCACCTTTGATTAATTATTATTCAAAATGCAATGCTATTTTGTTTTGCATTCCTTCAAATCAAATTAAAAAAAAAAAAAAGTAAACTCATGCATTTGTAGTGTACTCAACCAAATAAGTCAAAAGTATTTTCAATACACTATGTTTATTCTACTATGCATTTTTTTTAATCAAAACAAACAAACACTAAGCCATTTTTGGTGTATTCCAAATTTGATTGTTTGAGTCACCACAATCACCAACGATTGCCACCACTCTTATCAACAACCTTCGCACTATCACAGATAGCTATATTCGCTATTGGGAACTGCCACCACTAGCCAATATCCCCAACAACTATTACCGTTGCCACTGATGACCAACATCATTACGCTTTACATGTAATTCATTATATGTCATATACCAAATATAAAAAATAATCTCATAAATTTAATTTACACTCAAGTAAATAATTTTTTAAATAATTATAAAATATATTTTATTTATTTTACACCATATTTTTCACCAAATTAAGCATCAAAACTAGTTTTTCAATCCCTAATTAGAGTCATTTAAAAAGAAATTAAAATCCAACCTTTCCGTTGACCACATGATTTTCTACTTCTAAAAAAAATTATGCAGCACTGACAACTCACCGATCTACTGACAATTTGCTCCTTATTTCTTCATAAATGTATATTAAGCTCCTCCTCAAAATTTCTTCAAAATATATAATCTTCTTCATAAGATGTGGAAGAAAAAGGTCCATTCTTCACATAAAACAAGATGAGGTTGAAGTTGACGCAATCCTCTCATAAGGATATTTTAATGAAGTCTAGAGGATGATGGAGTACTAAGCTATAATGCTAAATCTTGTGGCTAATGGCTTATTTAATATAATTTTGTTTAACTAGCTTATATTTCATTTGGGATGACTTTCTTATTATTTTCTGAAGCAGCTTTCTATTACAAATTATTTTAATTAATTTTTTTTTTTTACTTAGAAGCTGCTTTAGAAAGCAGTAAGAAATCCATCCCAAATGAAGTCTTAGTCTTGGGGAGTAAAGGGTGTTAGGTCTTAATCAGTCCAATTTGATTTATTTTAAATTTGATTCACCTAATATTGACTATTGTGTGTTATTTTTTATGATTTTTTCTTGTTCTTTCATATTGAAGTTTCTCTTCCTATCATCAGTAGTAGACAAAGTAATATGCCCTCTCTTAATTCCAATCATAAGCTTTATTCGTCACAATATTATATACATCCCAACCATTTTTCATCACCTTCTTTCCATTTGTAAATTGATAGTTGGCAATAAATGCTCTTTTTCTTTTGATGTAGATGGACATATCATTAAGCATAACTCAATTAATCAATCTATCCTCAAAGGTAGAAGGTATAATAGTCTCTATCTATTATCTTCCTACAAGTCTACATCTTTTCCATAAGCTCTTCATGCTCAATCATTTACAACATCATGGAGGTCTAATTATCTCAATCACACCCATAATTTGATTCTCTCAGACCTCACCAAGGAATATAAATCTCTATGCATCCCTTTTAATTCTATTTTTGGCTCGTCATTAAACTTAGCTAAAAGTCATAAATTACCTTTTGCAAGGAATACAATGCATACATCAAACACTCAAATGTTCGAGGAATCTCATTGGTTCCTTCTCTTACTGGTTTTAAATACTATGTATTGTTTATCAACAACTCGTCCCATTTTTCTTGGGATTTTCCTATGCATAATAAATTATAAAAAAATCATTCAATTCACTCTTATGAAGGATACTCCTCATGCAAATGATATTGTTTTTATGATCCCATAACAAGCAAAATTCTCATCTCCCACCATATCATTTATGAGGAAAATACATATCCTTACACAAATCTATCAAACCAAAAATCAAAACCAACATCTAATACAATCACCACCTCTCTCACATAACTCCCATACTAATCTCTATCCCCCACATCAAATCCTCGCACTTCCAATTCCATTGAAGCTTTCTCCCATCATAATTGCCCCAATTCACCAATCTCCAATTTGACAATTTCAAATAATGTATCACCACTATTCCAAGCCACCTTCCTCATAAAACCAATAGCCACTCCCCAATAGGTTCCAACCATTCCTCTGGTAGAATCCATTCTACATCCCTTGTAAACTAGATTTATGACAATAAACATAAAATTAGTGCGCATAGTCAATTTCATCAACAAGTCCTCCCAACTTTCACTCTCACTTGGCATACTAGTATTAAAATCTATTCAATAGTGAAATGCCATGTCTAATTAATAAGTTCTATCCTTGCATCAATAGGGGACTTAATTTGTCCCCTGTCTAGTCACCACCTCTCATCAAAAATTATTGGGTGGCATTGTACGTATAAAATCAAAGGTAAAATCTAATGATGAAGTAGATCAATCCAAAGCATATCTATTGCATAATGATTCAATCAATCATATGGAATCAACTACTTACAAATATATAGTCATGTCACAAAAATACCTATGACTCTAATCCTATTCATTGAGCTTTTCATTATGAATGACAAGTTCTTCAACTAGATGTCTCAATTGCTTATATCCACGACAAATTTTAACTATGTGGCTGACTAGCTCTCTTGACACTCAATAACAAACACACGTCTGCTAAATTCACAAATCAATTTATAGTTTGAAATAAATGCAAAGGAAATAGTTTTGTTCCCTTTCTAATCTTCTCTTTATCAAATGTTTCAATTTCAATACTTCAAACCCCTCATATCTCACATATGGTAATGATAGCAAAAAAAAATCTTTTTGCTAATTTATGTTGATGATAAACCCCTTAATTACAATCATTCACCAAACATTTTCAAATTCATCATTGAGTTATAGACTCACTTTCCACCTTAAAGAGGAATGACCTTTTTTTCCATATTTACTTGGAATTTACATAATAATAACAAACTTAAGTTATTTTTAAAATAAAAAATAAGAAATTCTGCAAAAATCGGGCATGTCGATTTATAAGCTTGATCTTTCCCACATTCCACTTAAACTAACCTTGGTCCAAGTGCATATGAGTCTTTGAAAATCATACACTATCCAGATAACTTATTGATTCATTGTAGTATTTGATGATTACTAGACTTGATATGAAAAGTTGAAAATAAAATCATTGAATTATCAATAATTTGTGAGATGGTCATAAGTGATAAGCTTATGATATGCATATGTGATAAGCAGCAGACTCTACTATAACTAACAATTGAAAAATATTTTAATCTTATTAAAATTTCACTAAACTTTATATATAAATGAAGTTCTAAACTAAATTCAATCTCTTACTGACCATATATGCAATTTGTAATATGCAGAGTATTTAATTTGACCTAAATCTATCCAATGGCGGAACCATATGGTCCTTATGGGGGGGGCAATTGACCCCCTCAAAAAAAAAAAAATTTATAGGAGAGTAAATAAATTTTTTTATAGGAGAGTAAAAAATTTTTTTTGCCTCACCTAAAAAATTACTTTTGCCCCCCCCCCCCCTTAAAAAACTCTTTTGTCCTAACTTGCTCTAAAATATCTATATATTTCCAATTTTCTTTGACCCTACATACCAAAATTCATATATATTTAAATTAAGCTTAAATATAAACAAATTTATAGATCTACAAATAATAGAACTTCGATCTATCAATTATTTCTAGGTAAAATATAGTTATAAATGAAGAGTTATGAAAAATTTATTCAATGCAAGCACAATTTTCTAATTAAAATTAACTCTTGACATTCTCATAAATCCTTACATATCAGATACATGCATAATCTCCTTATAATGTATTCATTAAATAGTTTTATCTTTCAAATTCTAATACTTAGAATTCGATGCAACATCCCTTATAGGTTTTAAAAAAAAAAATTTAATGTTGACGAAAATCAATGACATTATATTGATGATGAAATCACATTCATGCATGTGATTATTTAAATAATAATATAAATATAAAAATTATATATATATATGAAAATATATTATTTATGAATTAAAACCAAATCATTTATGAGACACAAATCTTCATCCCTTGATTAATATACGAAAAATTATTACGTGTGGGTCCCGATTCATCCAGCAATCAATAAAAATGTGCCACGTCACCCCCGAAAAAGTAACGCGTATTTTTGTTGGTCGCTGAATGAATAGGGACCTGCACGTAATAATTTTCCATATATTAAGGCAGTCAAAATTTCAACAGACTCCCATATTACTGTAATTAGTGTTATATTGCCAAAGAAGAGTCTCTCTAAAGTCCTATTCCTAACTATTCATATTTCTGACCGTTGGTGTTTCGGATCTAAAAAAACTGCAATCGTAGCCATTGGAAGATCAAAAGTGCAAATTAATTACATACTAAAACAAATTAACCGTTCATAATCCATAACATAAGCAGCAACATTAACGGCAGGCCACGTCAGTCGCTGCCTCATCGTGCTTATATATTATCCTCTTCCTTTTCCTCATCAAGAGGAGAAATTCAACACAGAGCCTTCTATTGTTTGCACCATCAGCGGCGGGTAGAAGGAAGGAAAAAATAACCGTTGAGGTTTCCGTTTCAAAATTCTGTCTTTAAATACTTAACCTTGTTTCAAAACAATTCGATTACATTACTGATACATCTCTAAATTCTTTTCCTTTTTCCTCGATCTTTCATTCAGATAGAGCTATGGCAAGAAAAGTTGAAGCTTCCATTATTTTTCCGCTTATGCTGCTCTTACTCTACTCAGGTTCTCTTTCTTCGTTCTTCTATGTTAGGATAGGATAATAAGCTTTGAGCATTTAGTTCTCGTAAGTTTCTGCAAGGATGGAACTTCGTTAATTCTGCATGGACAGGAGATAATTTTATAAGCTGGAGTATTAGTAATAAAGTTTGTCTAACAGTGTTTGGAAATTTATCATCTTTGCTCGGAATTAATTATGTGAATTCATTACTTTGTTGTTTGTACTGATCAGAGGTTTATAAAATGCATTTGGTTCTCCACTTCAAGCTAATTCTAACAGTTATGAACTTCTTCTGCAGGTGGAGCTCAATGCACCGAACAGCCCGAGGTAAATCTCAAAAGCCCAGCTTAAAAACTAGAAAAGTGCTCTAGGATTCATAAATTAGAAGTTTGGTGAAAGAGACAGAAGATCTCTTAGGAATTCTTTTTTGAACTTTGTTAACAAGGAATGCTTCAAAAATGAAAATTCGTGTCTTTTTTAGACATTCTTTTATTGAAATTTAGTAAGAAAATTCTCTATAATAAGTGTGAGAGAAATATCGCGATTAAATTGGGCATGATTACTTGCATGTCTAACACAACTGATATAAATTGTTCCAGAAAACTTGGTGTGTGGCGAAGCCTTCTTCTAACGATGCTACTTTGAGCGCGAACCTCAACTATTCCTGCTCTCAGGTGGACTGCAGCATTTTACAGAGGGACTGTGCTTATCCAAACACCCTCATATCCCATGCTTCCATAGCAATGAACCTCTACTACCAAGCCGTGGGTAGGAACTACTGGAACTGCTACTTCAGCAACTCTGGATTGATCACCACTACTGATCCAAGTAAGAATTAAATCAATTTTTGAAATAGAGATTCAGAGGAAAAGCTCTTTCTGATCTTCTTCTCCTTTGTTTCTTCCTGCAGGTTTTGATCATTGTTCTTATGCCTGACTTTCTCTTAAGAATACTAATTCTGCAGTGAAAAAAAGAATTTAGTAGTTTTTGGTGAATTGGAAATTTGTTCCTATGGTTTTGTGTGATCGATGGAGGAGCTGTAGCTTTTTTGTTATTGTTCCATGTTCACTTAAAGGTTTTTGGTTAAGAGCATGTTAAAGAACTAATCAAATCAGACTTGCTCAAAATTTGTGATTTTGTCCTCTTTTCATTTGAAAATATTTTGGTGCCGATAGCAATTTGGATGTTGGTTTTCTCTAATTATTCAAGTTACAGCAGAAAAAAAAAATTTTTGCGAGATTATCTCAAATGGAAATTATATGAGTATCATTTCAATAATCATTGAATATATTTTGAGATAATTTATATCAGAATTTGATTTTTTTTTTTTTGTAATAACAGATATATAATAAACATTGAATATTGAAAAAAAATCAAATAAACTAATAATAATCAATAATAATGTTGTTCACTTATTAATATATGATTTATAATTATTATTTTTTATGTCAATTTCTTGAATGTATATATAAGAAAATTAATCTAATAATATTTTGTCATGTTCTTAGTGAGGGACTTGTTAAGCACGAGCATGAAATTAAAAAACCAATCAATGTTCATTTTGTTGAGTTTTTAAAAAATTTCAAATTTATTCAATTATTTAAACGAACAAATATAAATGAGTTATATAAAAAAATGTCCAATTATTTATTATGATTACCTGTAGTAATTTAGGATTTTATAAAATTGTTTGTGAAGTTGTGAGAAAAGCAAGTTATAATTCATTTGGGACAGCTTTTTTAGTACAAATTTTTTTAAACTTAAATTTTTTATAATAAAAAGCTGCTTTATGAAGCAATAAGAAAATCATCCTAAACAAAGCCTTAGGCTTCGTTTGGGACGGCTTTTTTACTGCTTTCTAATAACTTAGGATTTTATAAAGTTGTTTGTGAAGTTGTGAGAAAATCAACTTATAATTCATTTGGGACAGCTTTTTTAGTACAAATTTTCTTGAACTTAAAATTTTTATAATAAAAAACTGCTTTAGCAAGCAATAAGAAAATCATCACAAATGAAGCCTTAGTTAACCTTATCTTATGGTGATGAAATATTTTAATAAAGTTTGGCTCTTATTTAGGAAATATTTTATAATTTTCTATCACAACATGACAAAGATGAGGAAGATGCAATTACAAAGAAATATTAATCATGCAACCCCCCTCTACAAGCCCCAAATAGATACACAATTATGCTAACTAAAATCAATAAATATATTATAAATAAAAATGCAACCAACACATATATATATATTAAGAAATCACTTGATAGAGCCTCTACACCTAATCCTAGTAGGAGCTCATCATATTCTTGTGCACATTAATGCAGATAAGAATGAGTCATTTGAAAGGCTAACTTATTAACATCTTAAATTAGTTCCTAGTGGATATAAAAAATAGATTTTTTTTTTTATATTCCTAACAATATTTAACTTTGTATTATAGTTTCAACTTTGTGTTATAAATCAATTCATCGTTCTTCTCTGCCCACTTGTATTTTATCATATTTGAAAAAAAAATTATCTTCCATTGAGATATTTTTTTCATCAACATTTTATTGTTCATCTATTATTAACTACATTAATTAGCTTGTGTTGACCTTTTAAGGCATTTCTTTATTTAGAGGAAATAAGTTAATCATAACATCTACAATCCAAATTTTAGAGGAAAAAATTGATGAAGATGATGTAGTTTATATAAAAATATAAAAGAAAAACTAATAAATCAAATTTTTTTCTTTGGAATATTTAGGTCAATTTAGGCGAATTCACACACATCACATACGTAGGATTCGAACCTAAGACCTTTTGGTTTGTAGTCAAAGATTCCAACGAACATATCAAGATGAGCTGTGTAACTATCCAAATTAAATTACTATGAAATGATGGTTGAGGCAATCAATCACATCCAACAATGAAGACATTTGATTGCAATTGAAAGCGAAAAAAATACATGTTTCTGATTTAAATAAATCAAATGATTCTTAGTTATTCATTCAAAAGAATAGGTGACAAAATGTAATCAAATGCCTGTCAAAATACTACCACAGGTTGACAAAAAAAAAATGCAATGTGATAGGATAACATTATTGTTGTGACTAAAGCACAACCAATAAAACAAAAACTTATCAAATCATCTTTTTATGATGTCTAGAATAAACATAAATCTAACATACAATCATCTTAAACAAGACAAAGCTAATAGCACTAATCAAAGTATATATATTTATTTTTAAAATCATTTCGAATTTTAAAAATCAAATCAACATCATCTATTTTTATTTTATTATTATTATTTTAAAATCAACATCATCTATTTGTTTTAACAAAAAAAAAAGTTATATTCCAAAAACTAGAAGGAAGATACAAAAAAGTCCAACAAATGACCAAACCAAAATTACAAAGCAACAATCATAAAAAAAGATGAGAGGCCAGGCAAAAGCCAGCCGAGCTCAGTCATTGGCAAGAAACTATCTATGCCACCCTGAAGCTAGACAAGGGTCATCCAAAGGAGGAAACAAGTAACAACAGACACGACGCCAAAGGGCCAATCAAAATCTCATAATCCATACAAATGCCACCAAACAGAGCAAGAGCAAGCACCACCAGTGGTTGCCAACAAGCCATAGTTAACCAAGTGGGAACAAAAAGTCACCACATAATTGCTCAGACCACAAAACACAAACCAAAGATAGAAGCCAACCCAAATGAAGCATATCCCAATAATGATAAATAAGTCCAAATCCAAAGAGAAAATCATTTCTTTTAAGATTTACGACGTCTATTTGTACCGGTCGAATTAGAGAAACCATCATTAGCAATTTGGAGAATAATTAAATCATAATTATCTCGAGAATCCTATTCTTTCACATTAATTTCTCCCCCACCATCATAATAATTACCACATCTAACCAATCACCATGCATCACCTCATGATCCCTCGATTGACACACTAGATGGACTAATAAAGCATCACTAAACATAACAGAAATTGGCACTTGAAAAAGTGGCACATCAATAAAACAATCCTTAGCAACATAATCAAAACCATCAGGAAAAGAATCACAAAAATGAGAGGGATCAGCCAAAGCATTACAAATCTCATCTCGAACAATGAGCACCAACACACTCACATGTAGAACAACCTCTCAGTCACTAGGCGCAATATTAAGCTCACCCACAGGTGAAACAACCCCATTGTCCCCAGGCACCCAACATACATGATCATAAAAAACAACAGCTCCACCATCACAAAAATCACAAACCGTAGCTCCACAATCAACATTAGAGTCAGGAGTACTAATAGAACAAGCCTCAACAACACCAACATCAACTGTCAGGGAATCGATGGGGCTAGGTAAAGTATTCTCCAAACAAGTAGTGGTAATAACACCCACTTCTAAAGAATTACCACCCTCCCCAACCAAACCAGTCGCCCCAGGACCCAACAAAACAATAACAATATGATTAGAAATTAAACATTCACCCCTAGAAAAATCATCTTCAACCACATTAGAAGCAAGAGGAAGGGAAGCAGGAAAAGCATCCACACCACCCTCATGAATGCAACATTGATTAATAAGAGGCAAAGCATCAACTGACGGACCAACCAAATTAGAAACAATATCAATAGGACCAATATCATCCACAAGCGGAACTACCCCACCAGCCAAATGAAGGGCATTCTCCTCATTAACCCCCAAAGCATAAATAGGGTTAGAAAGAGTCAGTTTTGAAGGAGCATCATTGATCGAGATAGGAGCATTAACAAATGAAGGGCGACAAGCATCATTTGAATGCCTTAAGTGTTTACATTTATAACATAAAGAAATAAAATCCTTCATCACAACTTGCTAAACATAACCTAATTTATCAAGACCGAGCCACACTTTATTCGTGTATGTTTGGGTAATATCAGTCTCCACCAGAACCCGAGCCACAAATAGACGAGAGCCCAAAATAGTAGAATTATCCACTTTCAATGATCTACCAAATAACAGCCCAAAGCCATGAAGGATAAGAGGGGAGAAGAAGTGAGGGCACAAGTTTGGAAAGGATATCCAAATGGGAGATTCGGCACCAATAACATCTAAGGGAGACCATTTGATCAGTTTCATGAAGCAATTATAAATCAAATATGAGCATGAGATTGATCCAATAAAGTAATCAATAATTCACTATTAAACTTAAGATTGAAAAAAAAATTCATAATCGACGTAAGACTAGGACGACGAGAAAGAAAAAAAATTAACTAAAACAAACTTAAAACGGTCGACTAGGGCACAAAATTCCTCCTTCGAAACCCACAAAGCAGGTAAACCACGAAAAGTTGTATGTTTGAGGTCAGGAAAACTATCAGAAGATGAAGACCCAGATAGGTCAAAGAGGTATCAAAATAGGTCAACGGGTTAGGCCTGGATCCTAACATAAAATTGACCTGACCTAAATATAATCAACTCGAACCTGACCCATTTAATAAATGAGTCAAAGAGGTGAACCAAAATCTAACTTGCTAGTAACACAAATCCGGCCTAATAACTTGTTTAAATTATATTTTTTATATATATATATAAACTTGTTAATCACATATTTTAAATTATTTGATCAAAAATAAGAAAATTATACAAGCAAATAAATAAATTAAAAAAAAAAATGTTAAACAGGTTATTTTGAATTAAAATTGGGTTGGCGAGTCAACTTAAACTCAGCCCATTTAATAAATATGTTATAATGCACGATTGAATTCAACCAATTTACTAAATAAGTCAATCCAAATTTAAATTTTTATATTAATCTATTAAAATTCTAAAGATACCTTGTGAAGGTGATGACTACTCAGCTTATTTGGTCAAAAGTTTTAGCTATGCCAATTTTACTTAATTAACCTAAATTTTAAAAAAATGATGATTAATGTTGTCAGCAGTCAAATCCTGACCTATCGTTTCAAAGATAAATTAAACCCTTCAGCGTCATGTCATTTAACGCAAAAGCCAAAAGTACCCTTAAACATGAAGCATTATACCAAACAGCTCGTTAAGAATTCTATGAAATATTCATTTAATAATAACTTAACTATTTATTTGATGACTTTCTTTATATTTTATATACATTTTTAAAATTATATATATTATCAAATCTGTTAATATGATGAAAAAATCACATAAAAACTGGATAACTTTAACACTTTCTTATTAATATTTAAATCAAACAAATTCAAGAATATCTAATTATTCATATTACTTTTAATTAAAATTTATAAATCCACTTATAATTAGTAATTAGGCTACATATTTAAATCATCAGCATTAAAAAGACAGATAGGAAAATAAGTGCTTCTAATGCATCCATGCATTTGAACAAGAGAGAAATCCCAATGACTTCAAATCTGAAATAACTGTACAACAAAAGCTGGAATTCACTATCGGTATTCTTACATTCCAACTAAATCCACAAGCTGGTAATGGCAGCAAAATTAGGTTAAGAGCCAAAACCCTACAAAGAATAATCCGAAGAGCCTACAATTCAAGGATTGTTAGCATAGAGAGAATGCTCCAAAGCAACAAATTCATCGTCACTCTCCAGTCTCTGATGCTTCAGGCTTCTTATCCAGATCAGCGGAGCTTGAAGAATCCTTCATGGAAGCAGCAATGTGGCTTCGACGGTTTCTTCTTTCCTGTATAAATATCCAATGGCGATGATTAGTAATTACATGTTATGATCTGGAAGGTTATCATCAGTGCAAGAGAGATTATAATGGATCGATGTTCTACAACCTCACGGAATGGGTACTCTTCAGCTTCAAGCAGTCTTACAACTTGACTCATTTTAGGTCTTTTCTGAGAATCAGGATCAACACATTTTAAAGCAGCCAGGAGGGCCATTTTAAGAGCCTTGGATGAAGGTTTGACCTCCAAGTTTGGATCAATAAGTTCTTCAGATCTCCTGCTGCCGACCATGAATTTGATCCACTCCACAAGATTTACCTACACAAGCAGTATTATCCCAAGGTTCAGGTAAGCCTACATTCACAAACTATATAGCAGTCATTAAAGATTATTAGGGCTGTTAATTCAGCTTGATCTTCTCAAACAGCTCATTTTTGGCTTGATAACTAGCTCAAGTTTAGGGTTTAGGGTTAAGCACACAAGCTCAGCTTTGAACAATCAATTTGTGTATTGAATTAAAAAAGAGCCAGCTCAATAATTTGAGCTTGAAAATATCTAACCATAAGAATAAACAACCAGTATTTGATACGAATATTTAAGAAATACAAAGATGCTCAAGATTATGCTAATTATATAGAAATCAAACTTACAAGTCATACATAATAACACCATAGAAGATAATAATAGAACATAAACTTAGAGAATACTATTTAGAATGGACCAATAATTTAGAATATTCCTTACAATATTACTATTTGTTTGATCTAAAGAAGTTAATTGTTGAAACAAACAACCTCAAGCACTATAAGAGTTATAAACAAAGTAATTCTATGGTGTTTTTATATTATGATAAGTTTAAATATCTTGTAATCAAATATGGGTTGTCTCAATAAAATATATTGTTTCCACTAGATGTTGTATTGAAAGTCTAGTCATAAGAAGATTAAGGATGATTTAAGCTACAATTTACTAAAAACCATTAACATCATCCATATCATTAAAATTTGGGGTAAATTAAAAATGATGAGTTATGACCAACACACCTATAAATAAAGCCCCTAAAGAGAAATTATCTCTCCTCCAAAGCTCATTAAAAATGCACAAACACAAAAATTAGGCATAATGAAATACGGTCTTATCAAAGAAACTTAACCTTATGAATATTCTTTAGAGAGTGAGTTTGAGTCTGATTTTAAACCTCCAATAGAAACTGAAACTGCAATTGAACATAACTAATGTAATCCTGATTTTAAACCTCCAACTTTTGTGGTGTTTTTTCCCTTGCTCTTTTGTGTTTGCTTCAATTACATCATTCTCACTAGGAGTGTCAATATTTGACACGACCCGAAAACCTGACTCGAACCCGACTCAAAAATTCCGGGTTAGGGTCAACCCAGACCCAAAATAGGTCAGGTTCAGGTTCAACAATTCGACCGTTTTCAAAAAATTGGGTCAGATTGGGGTTGTTCCTTTGCCCAAAATTTACCCATTTTGACCTGAAAATCCGTTTTTGACCCGAAAATCCGAGACTGACTCGAAAATCGGAGACTGACCCATTTTCGACCCATTTTTTTACCCGAAAAAGCGGAGATTGACCCGTTTTTTTACTCGAAAACTAACATTTTTTGGTCGGCCCCAAGTCATTCGGTCGTGTTGGGTTGAACCTGACCCAAAGAGGGTCGGATTTGGATCCAAAAAACTGACCCATTTACAAAAATGGGTCGGGTTCGGGTTGACCTGAATAGTGTCATGTCAGTTTCAGATTCGAACTGAACCCGACCCATGAACCGAAATTGACACCCCTAATTCTCACTCTGGTGATGCTTCTGCAAATTATATTTTTTCATCAATAAGATTTTGAATAAATATGAATAAACTTCTAAAATATTGAATCAGGTTCTAAATTCTATGCTTAGAAGATGTGTTACTAAAAAATATAAACCTTCTCTCATGCAATTAGTGGCATCCATTAATAATTTATCAAAGCATCTTGTGATAATTGACTTATCTTGTTGTTCATATTCGACTTGATAACAAACAAGTCAAGCTTGAACAAGATTTTTTTGAACGTTCACAAAGTTGAGCTCAATTGGCATTTGGCTCGATAATTACCAAAAAAAAAGCAGAACAAAAAACAGCTCGATCATATTCAATTCATTTATACCCATCCCAGATGATATAATAGAGTTTATGAGATGAATGCAACTGAAAAAGCATGAACCGAAGCTTGAACTACATTGATACGTGTATTGCTTTGAAAGTACACATTATACTATACTGACAAGAAATGTGATTATGATCAAATTATTCCTCGGATTTAAGAGGCAATACCTTGCCTAGCAAACAAGAATACAAGTCAATACCTCATTTGCAGGTCGGCTATAATCCACAGGGTCTCTTCCAGTCACAGCTTCCAAAAGTAGTACTCCAAAACTATAAACATCACTCTTCTCATTTAGCAGTCCGGTATTAGCATATTCGGGAGCAACGTATCTGTAATCACAAAAACATTAGACCAAAAACATTAGACCATAAATCAATTGAAAAATGTAAATTTATGTTTATGTGTCTCTTCAAAAACAGCACGACTCAACAAAAAAAAAAAATTGCTTACCCAAATGTTCCCATCACCCTTGTTGTGATATGGCTTCTGCCAGAACCCAAAAGCTTGGCCAATCCAAAATCAGAAACCTTGCCATTAAACTCTTCATCTATTAGAATGTTACCTGATTTTATATCTCTATGAACAACCTTCGGTTCTATGCCCTCATGTAAGTAAGCAAGTCTGTGGTCCATTCAATTCCTTAGTTTAGCCAATTAATGATCTCAAAAGAAATCAAAACTGCAATCACTTACGCCTTCGATGTGCCTAGGATGACTTTCATGCGTGACTCCCAGCTGAGAACTCCACGTTGGCGCATGGCTCCATGAAGCCATTGTTCCAAGTTACCGTTGTTCACATATTCATAAACAAGCATCCTACAAAATGATCCAGTTTCAAAACTTAATTTAGTGGAGATGACAGTTTATGATAAGAAAATTACCACTAATAGTAACAACAAATGTGAGTGGAAGCTTGATGTCACTCACCGCTCAACACAATTTAATTTAATTAAATGAATAAAACACAGAAATTTTAGGCTTCATGGTAGGATGTCAATAAAGTGTGCCACTTTCAAGAGCTCGAATCATATTGTTGAATAAGCTAGGATTCATCCAGGTGATCAGTTTTGTATGCTGACTTAGGCTTCATTTAGGACAAATTTCTTACTGCTTCTTAAAATAGCTTTCTAGTATAAAAGTTAAAAATTTTTATACTCGAAAGCTGCTTTAAGAAGCAATAAAAAAGTCGTCTCAAACAAAGCCTTAGAGTGACAAGCATAAAATTTGGCATAGCTTCAAAGTATCACTCTTGACCAAGTAAATTAACTAAATTCATTGGCTTTCCGAAACAAAATTTTCTAAGCTAGAATTAAACATTCATATGATTTGACTCATATTTATTTGATTCTATAGAAGTGATTTTGCCTTAACGAATGCTTCTCAGAAGGGCTACTCTTCCATGATGAATTACATTTCTTAACATAAACTTATCATATTTTTAGAAATCTTTGGTGAAGGTTTTGCAGGGCCATACTTACATTTGTAAATGTGTGATAACAATATCGAGGGATTCAAAATCGAAAGCACCATCACAGTGTTACCCTAATCAGTCTAAAGAGCATGCAGGTGTTCTTACTTGAGTATATTCCTATTGAAAATCTCTACAGTTATGATTATAAATCATTAGAGACTTGTATTTGAGAGAAAGCTTGACATGATTAAACAACAAGATTCACACATAGTCCAGTTACAAACATGGAATCAATAGGTGGACGCTCTAAGTCTAAGCAAACAACTGAAGCAAAAAGTGTCACTTTGCTAGATTCATTACCACTTATGTGTCAATCTATAGGAAGCTTATGACTCGGATCAAAGGCCTGTTGATTAGAAGATATAATTCTCCTACACTTATAAAACCTCTTAAGAGAATGAGGAGGGTTTTAGATTTTTTCCTATGGTTTTATTTTTTTATTTTTTTTTTATTTTTTTATTTTTATTATTTAACTTAGCTTATAAAACCTCTTAAGAGAATGATAGATGAGAAATAGGGTTTTAGGTTTTTCTTTGATAGTTTAGCTTATAAAACCTCTTAAATTCAATTTATAAATAAATCTCACATTATTTTCCTAAAATGAGATAGCCTATGAGTAGAGTAAAGCCTAGCTTTAACTCAACCCATTGGCATGACAATGCCCCTCACGAGACATCTATCATGACAAGTTGAATTGATTCAACTAAATTACATCCATACTTGAGAATAACAAGATAAATAGCAATTTTAACCTGTGAATCCCTTCCACACAATAACCCAAAAGTCGCACAAGATTCTTATGTCGAACATTGCCAATAGCTTCCACCTCTACTCTAAATTCCTTCTCAGCTTGACCCCTGCAGCAAGAAAAACACATCATCAAAGGACCAAAATTTTAGCTTCCTAGTTCAAGAATATGCCTTACAATCCAAATAGTCATAAAGCTTATGATTATGATGATGATGATGATGGTGATGATGGTGATGATGTTCAAGAATATGCTACCAGGGTCACAAGGAACTCTCACATATTGTTGAGTATTTTCTTAACAGCAACCTCAGCTCCGTTTGTTAAACGCCCCCGGTATACAACCCCATACCCACCCTCCCCAATAACATTCTCCTTCGAAAAGCGGTTTGTGGCATACTCCAGATCCCTTAGAGTGAACCAGTGTCCCCATCCTACATGTGAGAATCCAGGAAGCCCAACCAAAGGAGAAGCTGATACAATCCCATCATATGGCGAGCGTGGCCTCTGTGCGGCTCCAGAGCTAACTTCATCCCCAGAATATGAACTTCCAGCCTTATCATGGTAAACTGAACTGCACTGGCTCAAGTTATCACCATCACTTGACTTGCTTGTCAGAGGACCAAGCGTTTTTCTAGAATCCTTGTCACTAAACTTGTCATGATAGGCAAGCATGGACCCTTCACGCTCATTGAAACTCTGTGCTAAAGTGGTACCAGCAACCCTATCAACTGTTATTTCCTTAGAAATGTCGGGGATTTGAGTGTGTGGAAACTTGTCAAGGTTTATCCGATATTTCCTCCGGGACAAGAATATGGATAGGATAATGAGAACAAATATTACCAAAGCAGCACAACTGATACCAATCACCACCCACAGCTTCAGACCAAGAAAGGCCTTATGATTTAATTTGGCATTTAGACCATCTTGGGATGACATTTTTTTTGCCTGCATTAACAGGAGAAGTCACATCATTTGGCATTAAGAGGCATTCGTGTGGACAAAATAAGAACATCTAAGGATTCAACATAGAATTTTCATTGGTAAGTTACATAACATAGAGTCAATAGTGGCAGCTAGACTTTAAGACAACTCCAACCGAAAATCTTATTTTTCACTACAAAATGCAGTGAAACTAAAAAATGCCATGATTTATCTCTAATCAAACTCCATTTTGCATGGTAACCATCTTTCTCCTCTTTTGCGCGTTTCTTCCGCAATCCAGTAGAGACAGAAAAATAGCATAGGTGAACAGTGTGACGCCACTGTTCACCCGCAGCCAAATAGCGGGAGTTTTGTCATTCGGCTGGAGCTCGCGAGCGACGTCATTCATGCGTTTGGAGTTCGGTGGGAGAAGGCCTTAGGAAGTTTAGCTAACTGAAAAAAAAAATACTAATATGCATTTCAAATTCAAACAGAAACGTAGATCTCTAATAACAATGATTTTAAACAGCTTGTCATTGTAAAAAACATATATAAGAGACTATATCGTAGCTTCCAAGGTAAGGATAATTACATAGGAAATTCAAATAACATTACTCTTTTGCAGTTCCAATTTAACCAGGACAAACTTCTCGTAAAGAATTTTTTTTTTTCTTTCACAGCCCCCATATCTAAAATGAACATATTGATAATGCTAGGTTTGACAAATGACAATAGATGGAGATATTCAAGTTATAATTGAAATTGTAACAGCGAAAAACATATTTTGAAATAACATCATAGAAGAAAACGTTTAAATTGACCACATCATTGCTCTTGATTTTGCCTGGAAGCCACATTATTATTACAAATAATTACAGCAAACAAAAAAGTAAGGCCTGAGGAAGACAAGAACTACAATAAAGAACACAATATCACGCCATCTGAAATCTTGTATGTAAAATGGGAACAATGGTATAAGAAAACCCCACATTGAAATTTGGATTTGGAAGCCACTATAAAAAACTTGAATTACATTACAAAAAACTGCAAATCAAAGAGCAAATCTACCTTTTTTATCGAATAAATCTCACAGAAGAAAGAATAAACCCAGAGCCCCTCCCCAAACAAGCCCTGACTCAACAAAATCTCAAAGACTACCCAGCAATGAAAGCCCAAGATGCAAAACTACAGAAAGCGTCGTTTCTAAGCAGAGACCAATGGTTGGAAATAATACATATACTGGTAAAATATAGCAATCTAGAAAGGCAAAAACGGAGAAGAGGATTGTTTGAAGGAAAATGGAAGGGGCCAAAAAAATATACCTTTTCTATGCTTAGAAAGGGATAGTTTGGTGAGCTTATTTCGCTTCCATGATAAAAGAAAGAGATGAGGAACCAACAAATACAAGAAGATGAAGTTTCCTTTGCTCTGGAGGAAACCGGAGATTGAGATAGCGAGAAGAGAGAGAGAGAGAGAAGATGGGAGCAGTAAAGGCAAAGCAAAGCAAGTGGGGGCAGGGAGGGTATTTAGAGTAGGATTAGCGAATAGAGAAATAGAAATTAATCTATTAATTAAAATTTAGGTTGAATAGAACAATATGTAATAAATGCGGAGTGGTGTGGTAGGCTGAGAGAAAACAGGTCAACCCACTATGGCTCAAAACTGAGCTGCTGGGTCTTCAAATGAAATTACTATTTCACCTCCGACAAGATTATTTGTTTTATTCTTATTTAAAACTCTTTAATAAGAATTAAATTGGTCATTAGTGACTGTACCTGTGCAACGGCTCCTTTTTATAGAGGAGCAGTAGCCGTGACAGCTGACATAGCATGGTGCCGTACGAGTTAGTATATTTGATGATAGTCACGCATATTTAGTCATTTAAATAAAAAATTAAGTGGGTGAGTACGATTGGGTATCCTCAACTCGTGTTCAAATCTCCTTGAGTGACAGCACCTCTTAAGTGGGGCTCAATAAGTACAGGTCATGAGGTTTCTGGGATGGTGCCTCTTCTAAGTCAGCCAAGAAATCACTTGCATCGCCAATCGTCTCCTAAGAGGGTGGTAGCAGGTTGATGCTCCAATTCCCAAAAAATAGATAAAGAAATTTAATTCTTAAGCCAAAAAATAATTTAATTCTTAAATAGATCACGAATTTAATTGGCTCAATTTTAGAGAGCATCTAATGTATATATTTTACTTATATATATAAATATATGGACTTACATACAGAAATTTCCCAACAAATAAAATTATTAAATATGAACTAAATTAATAAATTAAGGTATTAATTTGGCTATTTATAAAATATTAGGCCTAATTGTATGGATACCATTATTATTAATAACATGGTTATTTTATAAAATCATTAGTGTATTATATATAATTATGGAAACTCTTTTGTGTCCAAATCTCAATAAAAAATGTTCTCAATCTCAAAAATAATAATAGTAATAATAATAATAGTCAAATATGAAGATTTTGATATTTTTGGTTATGCTTGTTGGATTCAAATCTATATGTGAATAATACCCGACCTTCACCTTTTATGTATAGGGATATAATGGCTACATGAAATCCTAAGTTTATTAAGGAAATAAAAAATATAATACTTTACAAACTCTTACTACGTTTTATCCTAGACATGTGTCGCCCTCCAACTACCTAGAAGGAGAATAGCTCTGTATGAATATGTTGATTTGCCTTAAGGCTAAACCAATAGTTTCAATTGTCCATAAGCAAGCCCATTAATGTTGAATGTGTATTAAGTGAGTATTGAGCAAGTCACCAGCAACCTATCATGTAAACTTTGATCACCTTATAAAAGGAATGTGAGTGAGTTGTTATTGCTAAGAAGATGAGGTATATAATTATGGTCGTAGTAGGGTGGGCTGAGAACTCGTGAGCATACACTTTCATTGTCACCACCCAACCCGACCAGAATGAATCCCTTCGCGTCGGGCCGCGACAAAAATTTAAAATCCAGGATCTAGCTTTGGAATTTGCTTCAGACTTTCTTCCAAATAGCAAACATACATAAAACACAAAGCTACTATAAACATCCAAATATACAGAACAATTCATCCATATTTTCTTCTTTCAACAAAAGAATCATGTACAATACAATGCATGACTACAGACAGAAAGAACATAACAGAAAAGTCATGACTGCACAAAAATCAAAAGTACAAAATACCTAATCTCAGATTAGACACATAATTGCTAGTCCAAGACCTCCTTCCCTTTCCCAGAACCTGAAAACCACGCAAATAACAAGAATGAGCTAACATCTCAGCAAGACTACACCAGCCAATCAGAATCTCCAGAAATTCACGTTAGAAAATACATCAAAAGAGTAACCGTACAGAATTCAGATAATCACAGAAATCGTGTATAATCAAATGAAATATGAAATTCAGATACTTGATTAGAATCAAACAGCTGATACAGAAGAACTGAATTTATTTCGAATAGCAGAATATTCAAGTCAGATTTTGCAGAATCAACGAAATCGTACAAAACAATAGAATCATACAAAACAAACGAAATCGTACATAACAAAATTCAAATCATAAAATCACATTTCACATAACAGATATTAGATTCTCGGATCCTAACATAATCTAAACGGATTCTGGTCCCTTATGCCTCCCTTCCCTAACACTGACAGAATCTCAATGTATTCTGACCACTTATATCTCCCTTTGTGCTTAAAGCACCAGAACATAACAGATATACATAATTTTCAGAACAGGACTTGTTTTCATATTTCCCGGACCAAGACAACGGAATCACAAAGGATTTCGGCCCTTTATAACTCCCTTCTGATATCACAGCACATCAAAACATTCAAATTAGAAAAATCTAATACTTCAAAAAATTCGTGAGCGGCATAACGGCAGTATACAGAATTTTTACAAAATTCACAAATTCAAAATTTTACCAAATTATCACATATAGTATAAAACATAATTGTAAGACTTTCATTATACTGAAGCAATATTTTTCAACATCCAGATAATTCGTAATTCGATTAAAACATCACAGAATTCAAAATACAATGTAAAAATCTTCCAGAAAATACTCAAAACGTGCAAAAACATCATCTCAAAAGCATACCAAAAGTTACGCGGTAAAAGTTTTACCGGTGCAAAGTTATACCAGTTTTTCGCTAACGGAAAATGAATTTGAAACAGAAAATCCGTCAAAAATCATATTTCTGAAGATTGAGAAAGGCTAATGTGCCTTACCTCGAGTCGGTCAACTTTTCCAACTACGGCGATGGACGAAAACGAGTCGAAGTCGCTCAAAAATCCACTTTTCTTCCTCTTTCCACGGTTTTCTCTCTCCTCGGCTTGCGTTCCCTTCAAAATTGACACTATTCAGATATTTATCAAGCAGGATCGTCCAGGACGATGTCCCGATCGTCCCGGGACGATCTCCTCTGGACTCAAATCGTTCAGACGAAAATTAATTCCAATTTTCTTCGTCCCTGGACGATGCTCTCTGTTCGGTTCGTCCAGGCGAACCCAGGTTCGTCCCGGCGAACCCAGGTTCGTCCAGACGAACATGCATATTTTCTCTGTTCGTGCTAGCATTTCGTCCGTACTAACCATACAGATTTTCAACATTTCTTCAGTTCGTCCCGTACTAACAGCACAAAAAAAAATTTCAAACATAAATTGAAAATTTAAGGGTTTCACATTCATGTAGTTAAGATTGCCAAGCATAAATTAAGGTACTCGCCCTAGATGAGGGTGAGTAATTTTGATGACCAACCTTCCTTCATGAGGCGAGTTGCAGGGATTTTTAATTGTCTCCATGAAGAGAGACCGCCCTCTCCGCTTTTTGACGAGTTGAATTTGATGATCATCAGATGAGCTCCTTTATGGGGCCTACTAGGTACAACCACTATTGTCATAACCCACTGACTATATATCTTGGGGTACTAGAAAGGCATATGCGAGATACAATGCTCAATTAACTCAGACCCAAGCTTACTCTATTGATTATATCTACAAATTCATTTGAAATGATAGTACTGTCTCTATTTTGGTAAGAAGAGAAAAAGAAATTAAAATATTCTTTTTAAAATGACAAAGTTATCTAATATATATATTACAACCTTCAAATCCAAATTCTAGTCTTTTGAAAAAATTTCAAGTAAAATAGGTTTTGAGTGGAAGAGCACCTCCTTGATAGACAGATAGCCAGATCCGTAACGCAATATAGATCATGAAAACTTGCTCTGAGAAGGCAATTTCTTGGGCAAAGCAACGCACGAAATTCTCGAAAAAGAAGGAGAAGAGCCTCGCACGTCTTATCAAGCAAGCTGTGCGACCTATTAAAGAGAGGCCAAGAGCTGTACGTGTAGTGAATTCATTTGTAATTATTTAGTAGTTTAAGGCATTATATTTAATAAATGCATCATTTTGTGGAAAATAATGATATGAAAATTATGTTTTATTAACATAGGGAAAGCATGAGAGCCTTCGATTCAACTTTTCTAAAGATCTTCCATCACATTGCGGTCTCCTTCACGAAAAATTATTAGGTACGGAGTGTGTACTGTTCGCACAAATATGGGTACCTAGCGGTACCCAGCAGTACCCAGCGGCACCGAGTGCCAGTACTTAGTGCGAAATAAGGCTTGTGCGGACGGTTCTCCCCGTGCCCGTCCGCACTCCGCATTTAATAATCTCTCCTCCACCCGCCATCAATGTCATGTGATCTTTCGTACGAGTGTAAGTTAATCAAGCCTGTTTTGACTCGACTGGATAAAAGACTCGTGAGTTGAACTCGATGAGCTAATGAGGTCAGCTTGAGCTAGTCATGACTCTACTCATTAGCTCATAAGTTGGATCGTTTAAAAAAATATTAATGTAACTTCAAGATTTTAAGTACAAAATTGTTAAAAATATTTTAAAATTATTTCTAACTTTTTTGTATTAAATGATTCTTTATTAATTTTATTTCAATGTCTCATTCTTTTTATCATTTTGTTATAATATTTATCTGAATCATAAATATTTTCTCTCTTTCATAATAAATAAGCTTACTTGTGAGTTGTCTCGAACTCGCTGAATAAAGTTTAAGCTAGAGCTCGAACTCGAACTCAATTAATTAATCAAATTCAAACTCAAACTCAAATCAAATATGACTGAAATTCTACTTGACGCAAATTCAAACTCAAACTGGAGATGATGAAATTCATTTGCTGAATTATTATGCTGAATGTGGTGGTAGAGAGTTAATGAATGCTGTGAATTATTTTATTATGTTGTAAGGCACGTAGTCGCCTTGAAATTAATAAAATATTGGGTGTGAATAACACTTAAACAAATAAGCCATTAAAATATTATACATATTTAAGTATTATATCCGTAGTTTATTTGCATGTTAATTTGTTATTCGCACCTAATTTATTTTTTTAAAATGCATAGAGGTCTGGTCGCCAATGGCCTTAATCTATGCAACATCTATTACAAA